AGCTACCATCTGCACGAAATCGGAAACCCGGTTTTTGAGAGCACTTAGAAAAAAACGGGCTATTTTCCATCATAGAGAAATCATGGAGGAATGCATCCGCTACATGAGCACTTTGGATCGGATACAATTGTTGCCTGGAGGACCCCCAATCATGGTTCTTACCAAACTTTAAGTTTTTGAACTGGTCTCTGGATGAATTCAAGGGGAGTTGGCACGGAATAATGAGACAGTATTTTCGGATACATTTTATCCATTTTCACCCTTTTCTCTGGTTCTTCCAAAAGTTAACTTAGACTTTTTCTGACTCTGGAGGAATGTAACGGGAGTTGTCAGGGGACTGTACCTGCATTAAGAGACACTATTTTGGGATACAATTTCTCCATTTTCACCCCTTTTCTCTGGTTCTCTGATGCCTGGAGACCCCCCCCAGCCTGGTTCTTAACTTTAAGTCCAAACTGGTCTCTGGAGGAATGCAAGGGGAGTCGAAAGGGGACTCTTCTTGCTGTTCTCTCCAAGTGAGGTTCTTACCCTCATTACCTCTGCCCTCCCTACCACCTGTCCTCTGGACCCTATCCCTTCAAACCTCCTTCAGACTATCGCTCCTGATATTCTACCGTTTCTCACCCATTTCATCAACACTTCTCTAACTTCTGGTCACTTTCCAAACAGTCTCAAGGAGGCAAGAGTAAACCCTCTCCTAAAGAAACCCACTCTCAACCCGTCTGATGTTATAAACTACAGGCCTGTCTCTCTCCTCCCATTCCTGTCTAAATCACTTGAACGCGCTGTCTTTAAACAACTCTCCTGTTATCTCCATCAGAACAACCTTCTGGATCCGCACCAGTCTGGTTTCAAGGCAGGTCACTCCACAGAAACTGCTCTCATTGCTGTCACGGAGGAACTGCACACTGCCAAAACTGCATCCCTCTCCTCTGTCATCATCCTGTTGGACCTGTCTGCTGCATTCGACACGGTGAATCATCAGATCCTCCTTCGCACTCTCCAAAAACTTGGAGTTTCAGGCTCTGCACTTTCCCTCCTCACCTCATATCTGAAAGACCGTACCTACAGGGTGACTTGGAGAGGGTCTGAGTCCGACCCTTGTCAATTAACTGCAGGGGTCCCTCAGGGCTCTGTTCTTGGTCCCCTCCTCTTCTTCCTGTACACAAACTCACTCGGATCAGTCATTAGCCCGCATGGTTTTTCATACCACTGCTACGCTGACGACACCCAATTAATTCTGTCCTTTCCCCGCTCAGAGACCCAGGTCGTCGCACGCATCTCTGCTTGTCTAGCTGACATCTCTCAGTGGATGTCTGCTCATCACCTCAAGCTCAACCTTGACAAGACTGAGCTGCTCTTCCTTCCGGGAAAAGATTGTCCCACTCTTGACCTAACAATCAACATCAGCACCTCAGTTGTTTCCCCGACTCAGACTGCAAGGAATCTGGGTGTGACCCTAGATAACAACCTGTCCTTCACTGCAAACATCGCTGCTACAACCCGTTGCTGCAGATACACGCTTTACAACATCAGGAAGATACGTCCCCAGCTGACACAGAAAGCCACGCAGATTCTGGTCCAGGCTCTCGTCATCTCACGCCTAGACTACTGCAACTCCCTCCTGGCTGGTCTACCTGCATGTGCCATCCGACCTCTGCAGCTCACCCAGAATGCAGCGGCTCGTCTGGTCTTCAACCTTCCTAAATGTTCCCACACCACTCCGCTCCTCCGCTCCCTTCACTGGCTTCCAGTAACTGCTAGAATCCACTTCAAGACACTGGTACTTGCTTACCATGCTGCGAATGGATCTGGCCCTTCGTACATCCAGGACATGGTTAAACCGTACACCCCAGCGCGGGCACTACGCTCTGCATCAGCCAAACGACTTGCTGCACCCTCTCTGCGAGGGGGACCCAAGTTCCCATCAGCAAAAACACGTGGGTTTGCTATCCTGGCTCCAAGATGGTGGAATGAGCTCCCCATTGACATCAGGACAGCAGATAGCTTACACACCTTCCAGACTGAAAACTCATCTCTTTCGACTCCACTTCGAGCGATAGATTTATTAACAAAGCACTTATATACTAATAAAGGACTGGCTTATCTAAAGCCAGCTGAGTAGCACTTGAAATGTTTGGCTCTATGAAACCTGATGTACTTATATGATTCTGTTTTCTTCAAGGTTGTGTCTTCCTGGTCGAATGTACTTATTGTAAGTCGCTTTGGATAAAAGCGTCAGCTAAATGCAATGTAATGTTTGTCTTGTCAAAATTGAGGGGTGTGTTTGAGGGGAGGGCCCTGGCTGTTTCGGCAGCCTCCGCTCCTCTCTTCTCTCCCTCCCCGAGACCAGCTCGTGCTCCCGCTGTAAAAGGCAGGTGCGCGGGCACCCACTGCCACTCACTCTGAGCCTGGCTCCCGAGCAGCGCGTTCTCCCCGGCAGTCCGCCAGCAGATGAAAAACACCCACCTCTCCGCCTCTTCCGAGGGACGAGGGAACCGCGTGGGGGGCTCTGCTGGAGGCTCCTGCCGGGTGCTCCGTCCTGCGTTTCACCGGGACCCGGCTCCAACACTCGGAACTCTGACTCCAGCGCGGTGTGGCGGCCTCGCCCTGCCCATCCACCGTGCGCCCTCCGGGTACCTGACTCCCCTGCCTCCTCCGGGGGCAGGTGTGAGGGGTTCAATGCCTCCTCCCCCCGCTGCGGCGAATACCGGAGCGGGATGGAGCGCCCGGAGGTACTGTTGTCCCCACGTTACCATGTTGTCTGGAGGATAGGACCGAGAGATGACATACTCTCTACCCGGGTTACAAGTCACTATTTTTGGACCCTTTCTTTGCTTTACCCCGGTTCTATCACTCTTTCCTCCTTTGACCATAAAACGTGTTTCCTGCTGGGGTACTGCCTGGTTCCGGGGCACCCCAAACCCTCTCATGGTCGGGCCACCATGAATTGATGCATCGGACTCAATGTTGCCATCACCAGCCCCGCGTTGGTGCGGAGGTGGGACCATTTAACCCGGTGGTAACCCAAGTCCTCCTTTGGTCCGTGTATCAGGCATTGAAGCATCGAACCCATTGTTGCAATCACCGGTTACGCTAACGCATATAAACGGAGAAACACAAAATAATTGAAATACAATTCTCTGTTTCAGTAAGGATGTCGTCCGAATGCCCGGTGTGCAGACTCTTCTGTCTGGCTTTGAACAAGCACCTTAAGCACAAACATGCAGTGCGTAACTTGGAGGAAAGAGGAATCATTCTTAAAATGGCTAGTGGCCGAATAAATGTTCGGACCAAACCCTGTCCCATCACAGGGTGTTCGTATGCTGGGAAGAAACTAGACCGTCATGTGACTCATGGCCACCCTGAGTTATCCCGAGATGAAGCACATCAGGTCCTGGCAAGGCTGAAGCATAGTGTGGCCCTGCAATTGCTCCATGACCTCCGAGAGACTAATCCCATCATTGGAATGGCTACATCATTGGATATAGACAATGAGGAGGAATACCCGGTGCACCCTCCACCCTTCTCCCCACATACTGAGTGTGACGAAGAGGACTGCAGGCAGGTGATGCTGGAAAATGTGGCATTGAGGGCTCAGAAGGATTCCCTCATTGATGAGGTGAAGACCCTGCGCTCCAGGCTGAAAAAGGGGCTAAAACCCAGGTTGAGGAAGAGGAAGAATGTATACTATTTAAGGGCCTGGCAATCTCAAGTACCTCCGGCATAAACACAGCCGCCTCCGGTAGTCAGACCCCTCTCAAGACCCCGGTCAAGACTGTCATGCGGTCTCCAGCAGCCTCCGGTAGTCAGACCCCTCTCAAGACCCCGGTCAAGACTGGCATGCGGTCTCCAGCAGCCTCCGGTAGTCAGACCCCTCTCAAGACCCCGGTCAAGACTGTCATGCGGTCTCCAGCAGCCTCCGGTAGTCAGACCCCTCTCAGGACCCCGGTCAAGACTGTCATGCGGTCCCCAGCAGCCTCCTGTAATGAGGACTGGCCCTCTCCTCACTGGTCCAC